CCATTACCAACAGCAATTTAAGAAAGTTCAGAATTTCTTTGTAGTTCTTTTTGTCCTTGGACTGTTACCTCGCTGCGGGGCACAGAGACTGTGTTCCAAAGCTCCGTGAAACACTTTTTTCTCTGCCGGATACGGATACAAGTGAGTTTATTTGTTTTCTGTTTGATGTTCCATTTTAGGGTTTGCTTTCTCCTTTGTCATTGTTGCCGGGGTAAGCTGTTTGCTGGTTCAGAAGTCAGACTGAACGCAGAGCCGCGTCTCTTCCTAGTCACGTTGTCCTCAGTGGCTGTCTCTGTCCTCGGTCTCCTGCGGGCGTGGACTGGGGTCTGCTTGTGCGCGCGTCCCTGCTGCTCCCTGTGACCCAGAAGGCAGCGGACCACGGCGGCCGGTTTGCTTTTTCCTTCGCTGCGTGGCATCTCCTGGAACGTTCTCAAATCAGTGTCTGGACTCACTTGTGCCTGGCCTCACAGCTGCGTGTCACTGCCGTGTGTGTGTCTCCACGCTCTGTGGTGTCTCGTGCCACAGTGAGTGGGCTTGTGTGCGTGGTCCCACCTGCGATGCCCCAGGACACCGTGTCCTCCCTGACAGAGCATGTGACAACTCACTGGCCAGAAAGGGTCTCCCCTACTTCTCTGTGCACATCTCTCAGTGGCAGTGTTAAAGGACCGTTACTGCATCCACTGCTGAGAACCGCTCAGAGTTTCCCGTTTTTCTGCTGTGTGTGGTATTATAATCCCCCTGGTATTATAAATGCTTTCAACACATTGGGGATGTTACTGTCCTTTATGGAGTAAATTGTAACTGTTTGCTCACGCCTTGGATAATATGGAGCGCATGTCTGTTTGGTCTTGGTCCCATCCTGGGCATGGAACTCCTAAGACCCTTGGGCTATAGACGCGCCTTCTGTTGTTCAGAAGAAGCCCTTTTTGGCCACCCCGCTTTTTTGCCCGGGGGTGATTTAGAGTGGGGTTCGGTGTTGTGGTGGGGGAGGCAGTGGAGGTGGTGGGGAAAGATGAGGCTGGAGGGATGAG